CAACCCTGAACTCTGTCTGACAGGCTCAGACCATAAACAACCCTGAACTCTGTCTGACAGGCTCAGACCATAAACAACCCTGAACTCTGTCTGACAGGCTCAGATCATCTACAACCCTGAACTCTGTCTGACAGGCTCCGATCATCTACAACCCTGAACTCTGTCTGAGAGGCTCAGATCATAAACAACCCTGAACTCTGTCTGACAGGCTCCGATCATCTACAACCCTGAACTCTGTCTGACAGGCTCAGATCATAAAACAACCCTGAACTCTGTCTGACAGGCTCCGATCATTAACAACCCTGAACTCTGTCTGACAGGCTCAGACCATAAACAACCCTGAACTCTGTCTGACAGGCTCACATCATCTACAACCCTGAACCCTGTCTGACAGGCTCAGATCATCTACAACCCTGAACTCTGTCTGACAGGCTCAGATCATAAACAACCCTGAACTCAGTCTGACAGGCTCAGATAATCTACAACCCTGAACTCTGTCTGACAGGCTCAGATCATAAACAACATGTGAAGGAAAATAATAAGTTGATTCCAGATGTTTCCGTATTTCCAGCTGTGTGATTGTGTCAGTGAAAAAAGTCCAACCAAACATTTCCTCCTCCTGTCATTCATGTTACAGACTTTCTGTCAGTACTGACACATTACACAACTAATACACACCTGTTCACACAACAGTTTGTCTAACACCGATTACACACCAGTTTTTTTAACTGTATACACATCTTTTACCCATTTGTGACACACCTGTTTAAACACTTGTTTATACACCTAAGTGAAGTATGTACACCTATTTTACACACCTATTTACATACTATTAGACACAAGTTTACAATCTTGTGACACACCTGTTACACTGCTGTTTGTCTCAACACCTGATAAACACTTGTTTGTATGCCTGTTTATAAATCTGTCTGCTGTCAGAATACCTGAGATTTACTGTTTACACACCTGTTATCCACCTGTTTACACACCTGTTTACACACCTGTTATCCACCTGTTTACACACCTGTTTACACACCTGTTTATCCACCTGTTTACACACCTGTT